TGGCAGGCAGGTGGGGACTGGCTGGGACCCACAGGGATCAGGCTCAGCAGCAGCATCTGAGGCCTCAGGCAGGGCTTATGGCCAACTGGGGCAAGACAATATGGAAGGGGTCCATGAACTGGGAAGGGAACACCCCATGCTCTGCATTCTGCTGCGTGCATTTGCGCCAAACACTTACACCAAAGGCAACTGTGTCCACAGGCCTGAGACTTCCCCAGGGGTCCACAAATGAAATGAAGTTGAAACCAGCTGCAGAGTGGAACAGGGAGCCTGAATTCCCCTCCTCCAGGCCCCAGAGCAGAGTGGGGCAGGGACGGGAGGGGCAAGGAGCCTGAATTCCCCTCCCCAGAATCCCAACACCCCAGAGCAGAGGTGCAGGGTCTCATGGTGCTGGCTGGGCCAGTCCCAAGGCTCTGAGCTTCCAGGGACCCCCAGACACATCACCCCCAGGAGACTCATGAATCCTCCCCCCCACCCTCGGTCGCTGCCCCGGCCCCGCTGCGCACCGTACTCCTCCACGCTGAACCAACGCCTGGTCCCCTGCACCTCGATGGCGTATGGCCCCAGGGCCAGCTTGGCAGCCAGCGGGAGGGACAGATCCACGATGCCCTGCTGCGGAGTCACATCTCGCCACTGGGCGATGCGGTTCCCGTGGGGATCCTGGCACACGGACACGCCCTGCTCAGCCGCTGCCCGCACACGGCTCCACCCGGCAGCCCCCGAGTGCCTGGCGCTGCTGGTGGGGCTGGATCGACGGCCGGGGCCTCAGATCTTCTCCTTAGCCTGGAGCAGGCACCCCCGGGTAGTCCTGGGCAAGTTCCCACCACCCACGGTACCTCCCGCCAACACCCTGCAACCCTGACCCAAGGGCACCGGCTCAGGAACAGGCTCCCGTGGGCTTCCCATCTCCAGCCTGGACAAAGCCCAGGGAACAGCCGTAGGAACCGTCTCCATCTCAGCTCTAGGCCTTGGTGGGGATCCCAGCCAGGGCCCCACCCCCCAGCCCCTGGACAGCCCCAGATGATGCACACTCGGGTGGAGAGAACGTAACCCAACAGCACAAATGTCACTCCCCACCCCCATGTGGCCTGGCTCAGAAACACCCTCTGCTCTGGGACCCTGTGCACCCCACGGGTAGGGGGGCCTAGGCTGGTTGCTGGACCCTGTGGTCAGAGCCCAGACCCCTCTGGGATCCCCACGACTGAACCCCCCCCTACAGCCCTCGGCTAAGCCAGACGGGAGGAGAAGGCTGGGGGGACAGACTGACCTGCAGGGTCACCAGGGGCAGCTGCAAAGCAAACAGACAGGAGATGCCGGTTAGAGCAGGGGTCTCCAACCTTTTCACACCCAAGATCACCTTTAAATGTCAGAACGAGCCAAGATCTACCGCCCGTCCTTCCCGCAAGACCCCACCCCTTCCTTGAAGCACCTTGATGGTGCAGAAGTGCTGTGGCGGAAGACTGAGAGAGGCGGCTGGCTCCAGAGGGAACGGGAGGCAGGGCGCAGGCGTGGAGGAATGCCAGGGCGCCAGGGTTTAAAAGAAGAAAGATGGGGGGGGGGAGAAGAGGGGAGTGTGGCCAAAACCCCAGCGGGGACCTGGGAGACATCCAGGGTGAGTGACGGACGATCAGGGAAACCACGACAGGGGAGAGGAAGCAGCCCAGGGCAGGGCAAGGAGCCCGCAGGCTGGCGCATTTTGGTGGAAAGCCCCGTCATCCGGACAAGACCCAGGCAGGTCTACATCCTTGGGGCCCTGGGCTGGAGTCCGTGAGTGAGAGTGGGCCCGGACCCTCCTCTCCCCGCTGCCAGGTAACGGCTGTGTTAGCAGAATCTCCCTGGAGCGGTTCCTTTGGTATATTGTACAAGACAGCGCCAAAAAGCTGATAAACAGTAAAACTTCGGTTAAGGGGGCCAATAAAACATGGTGATGACCTGAAACCTTGACAAGGCCACACAAGTGAGAGACTCATAGACTCATGGACTTTAAGGTCAGAAGGGACCATTTTGATCATCTAGTCTGACCCCCTGCACAGTGCAGGCCACAGAATCTCACCCACCCCTCCCAGAATAATCCTCTCACCTAGATCTCAGATATTGAAGCCTTCAAATACTTTGAAGACCTCAAGATGCAGAGAATCCCCAGCTGTGATCTGCGCCCTATGCTACAGAGGAAGGCGAAAAACCTCCAGGGCCTCTGCCAAGCTACCCTGGAGGAAAATTCCTTCCTGACCCCAAATATGGCGATCAGCTGAACCCTGAGCATGTGGGCAAGACTCACCAGCCAGACACCCATACAAAAAACCCTCCTTCAACCCCGCCCCCCAAGCTTCACTAAAGTGGCCCCAACTGTGTTGGTGGGAGCAGAGGACATGGTTCTTGGGAAGGGTGCTAGTGGGTGATGAGGCAGAGGACAGGGTGCCAGGGAGTTGCTGGGGGCAGGGAGTCCCCGGCATGCACCTCCTCCCGGGACTCCTCCTCCCTTCTCCTCCGGCAGAGCAAGTTCCTGGCAAGCCACAGACCAGAGCTGTGGTACTGCGCCAGCTGTTTGGGAGAGGGGAGCAGCCAGCACACTTCCTGAAACCCCGGAAGTGGTGCGCAGCTGCTGGACTTCCGTCCACCCCACAGGAAGCCGGCGCTACCTCCATTGTCGCTGGAGGTAGGCACTGGGGCTTCCAGAGGGCTGGGGGGATGGAGGGGCCCCGAAGGCCTATCCATCAGCTGATCTAGCCCTCCTGACCGATCCGTCAATCACGATCGACGGGTTGGTGACCACGGGGTGAGAGGGACAGGAACCGCCACCCCCCGCCAGGGCTCTGCCTGGGACTCCCCAGGGCTTGGGTGTCTCTGGGGCACAGACAGACAGCAGCGGGGGTTACGGAGACAGCCCCCGCCCCGCCCCCGCTGGGACCATAGAGCTGGAGCTCTCACACCTCCCAGGGGGGCCCCCCCCCCACCAGCCATGAGGCACCCAGGGCAGCGGGTGGCTGGTCTGTGGGGGGAGCGGGGCCGGGATGCTGGTGTCTCTGCCGAGGGCAGGGCCGGGCCGGGCCGGGGGGATGTTGCAGCCAGTGGCCGGGCGTGGGGCTGGGGGGGGAGCTGTAAATCCAAATTTACACGCTGGGCCTGATCCTGCCCCCCCACAGCGCTCAGCACTGTCCGGCAGAAGGGCGCCAATGACGCGCATCCGGGGTGAGGGGCGGCACCCACAGCCAATCACAGACTTCGGTACAGCCAGCGCCCGCCCTCAGGCTCAGTGGAACCCGCAGTGACCCCCTTGTGCAGTAAAGAGACACGAACAGCTGAGACCCCTGCCCTGGCCCTGGGCTCACCCCCCACCCACCCCCACTCTCACCCCACCCCACCCCAGAATAATGATTTAAATTAAGACAAACAAAACTTATTTTAGATAAGAACCCAAGCAACACCAGGTAAATCTTCCAGTTGTAATAATATAGGATAGCTGTGCTTCCACCCATCTCATTGCCTAAATTCAGATCAGGCCCGGCTGTATTTGGAGTGTCTCTACCTAATACTGGTCACATCTAACCTTACTTGGACCCCTGGCAACCCTAGACCCCCTTGTGCAGCAAAGACACGAACTCAGGTTCCTGCCCCAGCCTGGGCAGGGGTTTGAACCGGACAGTCCCGAATCCGAGCTTTCTGTCCGGGAAAGAAATGGAGAAAACAGAAAACAGAACTGTCGGGGAGTCTCTAACTCGGGTGGAATGGAGATAGTGATGTAATGTCAAGTGTTCGGTATTTCTCTTGGAACCATCTGGCACCCCCAGCCCTGGGCTCCCCCTCACCCTCTCCTCTGCCCCACCCCTACTCCTGCTCTCACCCTGCCCCCCCCACCCCGCCCCCGC